GAGAGAGAGAGAGAGAGAGAGAGAGAGAGAGAGAGAGAGAGATGGGTTCATCGGCCACTTTAAAGGAGTGTCAACTAGCTCAGATCAGGGGTCCAGCTCCTAGGGTTACTATATTTGACAAATAAAAATATAGGACACCCAAAGAAACCAGAATTTCAAATAAAGAACAATGTTTCATTATAACATGCTCTAATTATTATGGTACATACTTACACTAAAAAAAAATTACTCACTGCTTATCTGAAATTCAAATTTAACTGAGTACCCTATATTTTATCTGGCAACTTGACTGGCTTTTTGCAGCAAAAAACACTTTATTAAAAGAACAACGGGGCCCTAACCCGTTTGGCTCAGTGGATAGAGCGTCGGCCTGCGGACTGAAGGGTCCCAGGTTCGATTCCGGTCAAGGGCATGTACCTTGGTTGCGGGCACATCCCCAGTAGGGGGTATGCAGGAGGCAGCTGATCGATGTTTCTCTCTCTCATCGATGTTTCTCTCTCATCGATGTTTCTAGCTCTCTATCCCTCTCCCTTCCTCTCTGTAAAAAATCAATAAATAAAATATTTAAAAAAAAAAAAAAAGAACAACGGGTAATATATGACCCAGAGTCACGCGTTCTCAGGTGTAACCTGCTCCCAGGAGCCACTCCCTCTGCACCTCTTCCCTCTTGGCCTTAGGAGGGCCTAGGACCCAGAGCCAGATGGCTGGTTGGGGTTACGACCTCACCGGCCAGCCCAGCCCTGGCCTGGGTTCCCTTCTTTCACATTCGCCCACTGCCCACAGCGAGGGCCTCACTCTCCCCAGCACAGAGCCACTGACGGGGACTCGGGGTCTAACCCTTGTCAGGCTGGGGAGGGCTGGGGATTAGGAAAAACAGCCCTGAGCCGAGGAAGAACTAGTAACCCCTGAAGGAGGCAGACAGACTTTCCCTCTCCGCCCGTCGCTAACGCTGGCCCGTGTGAGGCCCTGGGCACCTGTCTGGAGCGGCTCAGAGACGAAAGGAGGGCTCTTGCCGGGCCTGCTGCCCACTGCACCCGACTGGCAGAGTCTGCGGACCAGGAGCAGCCCTGGCGCCTGGGTCTCACCCTGCTCCTTAACCAAACCACAACGCACCGCTGAACGCTCACCTCAGCGCCCTGGGCTTCAGGGACGTCCGGAGACTCTTATAGGCCCCTGAAAGGAAGCAACGTGTTACTGGCACAGGACATTCTGGGGAAGGGGCTGCCTGCACCGCCAGGGAAGCAGCAAACCCATAGGGAGACGGAGGTCCTCTCCCCTGGAGGGCCCCCCACGCCCACAGGGCGGCCACACTCCGGGAGGGTTTAAGGTGGAAGTAGATAAGCCGGTGGTGATGCCTTTGGTACAGAGGTGCTGGGGGAGGCTGGTGGTCACGGTGTGGTTAACAGGAAGCTGTCGGGTGATGGGCAGGAGAAACACTGGGTGTCTGACAGTGGGTACCTTGGGGCACGGTGCCCCAGGACCACAGACAAGAGCACTGAACATGTGACTTGAATGGCCCTTCTATTTCACCCAGTTACTTTTTGTACATTGATGAGGTGTCTTTGGCACAAACTTCTGGGTCTCTTCCCACCGTGTTTAGGGAAGACCGACCAGCCCCCCATGGAGGGCCAGAGCCAGCAGAGCTGTGCATGGTGAGTTTGTTCGTGTTTGTCCCCAAAGAGAGACTGTTTTGGAAATACAGTTTGAGAAAACCTCCCAAACAGGATAATCAAACCAGAGAATGTCCATTTATTTTAACCTCGACACTGTATTTAATCTTCCTGTTGTCCAAAGTCACTAAAAAGTAGATTCACAATAAGATCTAAATAATAAGCCTTAATTATCATAGTAAGCATTAAGACTTACCTACACTGAGTAAGTGAATTACAGCCCAGAAGTACCCATCTGGATCAAACTGTAAGACAGGATTTAAAGAAATATGGCTACAGGTTCCCACGAACAGGCCAGTCTGGCAGTCAGATACCCTAAATGTCAGCGCACAGTGCCAGGCACGGGCACCAGCCAGGGGCCCAGACAGGACTGTGGGGCCTGGAGTCAGGGTCTCACCAGGTGCCTGCCACTCCTCCCAACATGCTCCCTGCCCGCAGCCCTCTCCCTCTCCCCCCTCCACCCCCCACCCCCGGCATCTAGAAGGCCACCTGATGATGTCACCACCTAGGGCCTCAAATCCCTCGGCAGTCTCCAGGGATACTTCAGGGTGAACTCCAAACTCAGGGCACCCGGCATCGTGACAAGCCTTGGTCCCCTCCAGCGCATCCATGGCCCCTCTACAGAGAAAGGGAAGTCGCTCTCCCTGGCCCCAATGCTCCCCCCTACTCAGCCCTCCTCCCCTCCCCTCCTGTCTCCACAGAGCTTCTCATCTCACAGTTTTACTAATTCCTGTCTCTGTCGCCACCTGCACTTGAACATAAATTCTAGGAGCCAGTGACCAGCCTAGAAGTACCCACGAACGTAGTAGGTGCTCAATGGAGCTGAGTCCCAGCATGCTTAGGGCACCCCAGGGCAGGCCCGCCCCTGCTTGCTCCTGGCTAATCCTCCTCCCTCTTCATGATTAGGTCCAGAAAGCAGGGCCTGGCTCCAGCATCGGGAAGATCTGGGTTAAACTCTAAAATCCCACTCAATCGTCCGCTGGTGACCGCATGGGCCGCCTGCATCTTTGGCTACGACTTGGAGACACAGTGATCCCTGTGGACTTGAGGGTTTAAGTAGGGCACAGGGAGCATCGGCCCCGAGCCCGGCACACAGCAGGCCCCGGAACCGTTAGCTTCCCGTTCCGTGTCCCCAGGTCTCTCAGGTGCTCACACGTCCCAGCCTGCCTGGGCAGAGCCCTGGCCGCTCTGTCAATCCTCTCAATCATCTGCCTTCCTCTCCTTTGCTCTGACGAGACCCCGCCTTCTGTCTGAACGAGGACACGTCTTTGTGCCCAGAGTCTGGCTCGGGGCCTGACACTTTCTGGAGCCTTGATAAGTGCTGGGAGCAAAGAAAGTCCCAGCAGCGAGAGGACTCCTGAAGTGCGGGTGGGTCTCAGCCTCAGACAGAAAAACAGGGGGCAGGTGAAGAGACCTGGGGAGAGAAGTCCACCACGCCCCAATGTGTGAGGCTCGGGCAACTCGGGCGCTGGCTGCAGGCTCTCCAAGAACCTACGGAGGCAGACGGCGCCCACCACAGCACCCACCGCAGCACCCAGAGGCCAGAGCTCGCGGCCCCACTGCGCAGCCTCGGGGAGAAGGTGGGGCCCCGAGGGAAGGCGTTGGCCTGGCCAGCAGGTGCCCGTCCTGAAAGCACTCAATGCCTGTGCGCGGGCCAGGCTCATTCTGATCCCAAAGGGAGGACTGGGGCACTCTGCTCCCATGAGCAGGCTTCATGGTAAGAGAACTGGGGAGGGAAAGCACGCTGACTGAGCTTACCTGGGCGTCATTGAAGGGGAGGCTCCCCGCAGCGGCCAGGAGCAGGAGGGCGCTGTGGAGAGAAGGAAGACAAGCCGCATCAGGGTTCAGCATCCACGAATCCTCGAGAGCATGGGGCTGAGATACACGACGGAGCTCGGTGGAGGCCACGGTCCCGCGAGCCCGAGCCCGGCCCGCCCACTCTCAGAGAGCCCATGACTTCTGCAGCTTTCAACTGTGTGCCCCACCGACCACCAGCCGTCTCCCCAAAGACGGGCATTGGCAGGACATTTGCAAAATCAAAGCTGAATCATAAGCAAACACTTGAGACAAACTCAAATTTAGGGACAATTCACAAAACTGGGCTTCCCCTCTTCAAAAATGCGAGGCTAATACCATGTGTTGCCAGGAGATCTGACTTTGGGTGCTGGGCACGAGGTGCATATAGAGATCCTGTCAATAGAAACCCACACTGAAACCTATATGTTCATGTTGACCAATGTCCCCCAAAAAATTTAATAGAAAAAAACAACACACACACACACACACACACACACACACACACACACACACCCTGCGAAGGCAGTGAAAGACCACGGGAGGCAGAGGAACCGTACAGACTGAAGGGCATGCAGACACAACATCTCGGGGAGAGATTACCATGAAAGACAACATTGGGATAGACGGCCAAGTGTGGACATGGACTCCACATTAGAGAACAGGATTGTGCAAGATACGTATTTTCTAAGTTTAATTGCAGTGTACACAGGAGTGTTAGTTTTAGGAGACACACGTTAAAGTATGCAGGGGTAAGGACGAGGTCTCTGCAACTTATTCTCAAAGGGCTCAGAAAAAAATTAAAGAATAATTGTATATGCACATTTTTATTTATGTGATATGTATGCATATAAGTATTTTCTAAGTGGGTGAATCTAAGCAAAAGGTATATGCGAGCGAGTTCCTTGTAAAGGTCTTGCAACTTTTCTGTAGGTTTAAACCTCTTTCCCAAATAAAAGGTTTACTAGGAAAGTCTCTTATCCATACTCAGATATTTACAGATGAGATGCTACGGTGCCTGACATCTGCTGGAGTGGGAGGCCCTGGGTGGAGGTACAGGTTGAAAACTATGCCCTAGTTTTCTCAGTGGTCAGAGCATTGGCCACAGGACTGAAAGGTTCGAGTCCGGTCAAGGGCACATACCTCAGTTGCAGCTTCAATCCCCGGCCTTGGGCCTAAGGCCCAGAGGCTGGTATGGAGGGACCCTCAGAGTGGGGGCAATACAACCTTGGAAGGTCAGGACAACATGGGACATCCTGAGGCTCAGAAAGGCTCCCTTCTGCAGCCCCCCAGCTCGCGCGCGCAGACACACACACACACACACACACACACACACACACGGAGGACTCCAAGGCACAGACTGCTCCGGGCTCAGAGGCAACAGGTTGGGTGGAGGGAAGCCGTCGGAGGGTTTGCTGGGCTGCCCAGGAATGGGAAGGTTTCAGGTGGGAGGAGAGGAGGCTCCTAATGAGTTTGGGGTCTACCTTCAGATGAAGGCTCTACAGAATGCAGGACCCTTCCTTATCCTCAGGCCATGAGCATGAGGGTCCCCTCAAGCTGACGACCCCCCAGGCTGAGGGGAGGTGAGACAGCCCTGGTTTCCCACCAACCGCAGCCCTGGGCAATGCCTAACTGCCTCAGTATTGGTGGCTTTCATGCCTATTTAGCACCTGCTAATCTCTTTTTTCATATAAAAAGTATTTTTTAATGATTTCAGAGAGGAAAGGAGAGGGAGAGAGAGATAAAAACATCAATGATGAGCCCTAACCGGTTTGGCTCAGTGGATGGAGTGTCGGCCTGCAGACTGAAAGGTCCCAGGTTCTATTCCGGTCAAGGGCATGTACCTTGTTTGCGGTCACATCCCCAGTAGGCCACTAGGGACCGAGCCTGCAACCCTGGCATGTGCCCTTGACCAGAATTGAGCCCAGGACCCTTCAGTCTGCAGGCCGATGCTCTATCCACTGAACCACGCCCACTAGGGCAGCACCTGCAAATCTCTTTAAAAAGGGGATAAGTACTGATGTTTCTTTATTTTTTTTTCCAAGTAGCAGCCTGTAATAAAGTGAAAAACAGAGACTGAATGGAAGCCCAGAAATGCTGGAACAACCAGCCTCTGGCTGGGTTTCTCGCCCCGGCACGGAGCTCCTGCAGGGGGGCAGGAAGCGCACCAGGCGTCCGGGTCAGAACCAGTGCACGCCTGCCTGAGCTCCTGCCAGGGGCACTGAGGCACGGAGGAGGGGGTGGCGATGACACCTGCCCGCTGTCACCTGGCCGTCTCCCAGGATCACAATGCAGATCCCTGACTCGCAAGCCAGTGCTCTCTCCACTGGGAATGCTTTCAACCCAATAAACTGTGAACACTATTTTTAAATTTTTAAGTCATTCCATGTTTTCCATTTTCACTCTCCATTGGGATTGCACAACTCTGTGAAGTTTTGGGCATCGACGACTGAAATCGAGCAGTGGTTGTTTTTGCCTTAGGAATAAAATATTCCAGAAAAAGAGGAAGTAAATTTTAGACTAAGACTCAAAACAGGGATATATGAGTATTTATCACAAATTCCTCTGTCAACTCTCAAGTATGAATCTTCAACAAACAGTTTTATCATCAAAGTTAAAAATCAGGTTAAATCTTGTATTTTAGAGGTTTGTGGGTTTGTGTGTGTATGTGTGTTTTAAACTTACCTACAGATCTTGGCAGGAGGCGTTTTCTGCATGAAAATAAAGAGATTTATAATTAGTCTTTAAAAACCCTCTTCCTTAAAAGAAAACGTTAAGACCAAGTTCACTGGGGGCCGAGCAGCAGCTGCACTGAGTGTTGCTGAGGCCTCGCTGCTGGGACAGAGGAAGGATGACTCAGCGCTCAGGCTGTCGCCTCGGCAGAGCGCCCTGCGGGTGAGTCTTCCCACCGCCACCGGTCCTCCCTCCACCCCAGCCCTGTCCAAATACGTCCCCTGTGAGAGAGCAAGACGCGGGCCAAGCCTCCCCTGCCCCACGCACCACGGGAGGGAGAGGCCGGTGTAACTGTGATAAAGGATTGAAGCATGTGTCCCACTCCCGGTTCAGCCGTCTCTTTAATTTCCTCCCATTAATCCAGCTCTGATTCTCAGCGGTGCTATAAATTCCCTGGCATGATGTGTAAATTAAGAAACAGAAAAAAAGAAGGGACATTGGACTCCACCCTGACCGAGAAGGAAAAATAAGAGCAGGAATCTCAGCTTGGCCCTCAAAGCTCGGGGAAATGAAGACATTCTAACGCGGACGCTCCCTTGGTCACCTCCTGTTCGTGGGGGGTTTAGGAGGTTGGTCTTTGCACTCGGGGAGGAGCACAGACTGCTCTCTACTTGCAGGGGAAACGGTCAAGTAGGAGAACAGGTCAATCCTGAGCGTTTCAGAGGATTATTCTGCTGGCTGAGGACAAACTATACTTTTTTAAAATTTTATTTTTATTGATTTCAGAGAGGAAGAGAGAGGGGAAGAGAGAAACCTCAATGATGAGGGAGAAGCATTGATCAGCTGCCTCCTGCACGTCCCCCACTGGGGGTTGAGCCTGCAACCCGGGCATGTGCCCTGACCTCCTGTTTCATGGGTTGATGCTCAACCACTGAGCCATGCTGGTCGGGCCTCACTATAATTTTCTGACCCCAGATTAAGGGTGAAGTACGACCACACTGATTAAAAGAGAGCACTGACGAGAGGACGCCTGGCTTGCTAGGAGGAGACCCTAAGTCTCCCCCATCACTAAATAGTCCAGCCCCCACTGTTTCAATGCACAGACTTCCCTCGCTCATCTCTGTGGGCCCTGCCTCAGCAGGGCACAAGGCACAGGGGACAGGGCACAGGCTAACCTTGCCTCCATTGCCCCCTGGTGGCGACACCTAGCCCTTCAGTACAGAAAGGATGACCCAGGCACAGGTGACCTGCTCCGAACAACTGGATAATCGTTCCCATGACGGGGAAAATGTGTCCCTAAAAGATTCTGAGCTAAATATAACCAACATCTCAAGGA